TGCTCTGCCCCAGTGCCTGGCGCTCCCCACGCTGCTGGCCCCTGGAGGGTGGCAGGGAGGTGGCCAGAAGCCCCTGCCTGCGCGTGGCCCTGCCAGCATGGTCCTGCATGGGCTCCCAGGTCGCTTCCCGGCGAAGGATGGCCCTGCTGCCCCGGCACCTGGGAAATTAATTCCCCTTGTGTTATTTGCCTCTTTGCCAGGAAACTCATTTGCAGCTAACGAGCCACAGAGCCTGCGCATCTCCCCCCAGCCACTGCTCGATGCCCTGCCCACCCCGCTGCCTCGTGGCCAGGGGGCACAGCCTTGTGCCTGCAGGCTGGGGGCACACTGGGGCAGGGGACCTTGGGATGCTCACGTATGCCACTGATGCCATCCTGTCCAAAGCTGGTGCTGCTGCTGCCACGCTGGCACCCTGCACCCCCAAAAGAGCAGGGTGCTTGCCAGCTGGGAGCTGGGTGCTAGGTTGTGGCCTCTCCCCGTGTGACTCAGCTGGGCCAGGACAGGGACGGGATGGGCTTTTAATAGAAGGCTACTCAACCCCGTACCGGGCACAGAAATGCCACCTCCCACCCCGGCCACATGCCAGGCCCAGCTCCCACGCACCCCGCACAGGTCCTGGCTGCCAAGGCTGGGATGGATCCCGTCCCGTGGGACACATCATTGGTCCTGGCAGATCATCAGTCCTGGCTGGGGGAGAGGGAGGGAGAGCCCATCATGTCCCCTCTGGGCTGGCGGTGGCGTCAGCACGTATTGTACTGCCCACGTCGCTGCAGGGATGTGCTGCTACACTCGGCCCAAGCTGGAGGTTTTTCTTGGCTTTGTGCCCAGGCACATCGTGTGGCCACAGCCTGGCCAAGCAGTACCCAGGGCTTTCTGGCTACTGGCCTGGTTAGCTGGGGAGCTACTGCGGGGCCGCTGTGAGAAGCACAACCCCTTCCCTCCAGACGAATTGTAGCTTAGCGTGCAGGCAGCTGGAGGAGCAGAGTCTGCTCCTGCAGCCAGCCTGCTGTGGGTAATCACCAGTTAGGGGTCATCATTAGGTTTCAGTGTGCACAGCCCGGGCAAGGGATCATCCTGGCACTGCTTACTCACAGACCCAAGGATCTGGGCTGTCTCCACACGTGTGTCTCACCTGTCTCCACGTCCCGCAGGTGTTCAGCGGGAAGCGCCCTGAGTCGGAGCTGCCACCCCAACCCCAGAGCACCTTCCGCAAGCCCCCCACGCCACCGCCCCCCGAAGCTGGGGGCCAGCACTCCCTCACCTGCCTCGTGCGGGAGCGGGACCTCTCGCTCTTTGAGAAGCTGGGCGACGGCTCCTTCGGCGTTGTGCGTCGCGGCGAGTGGTGCACGCCCGCCGGCAAGATGGTGAGGTGGTCACAGGGGCGGGGGGAAGTTTGGCTTGGGACCACCCCAGGGGGAAGATGCTTCAGGGGTCACTCCCTCTTTGGCTGTAGGTGAACGTGGCAGTGAAGTGCCTCAAGACGGACGTGCTGAGCCAGCCGGAGGCACTGGACGACTTCATCCGGGAGGTGAACGCCATGCATTCCCTGGACCACAGGAACCTCATCCGCCTCTACGGTGTGGTGCTCTCCCACCCCATGAAGATGGTGAGTGCAGTGGGATGGGGCCGACCCTGATGCCACCCTGTGGGTATCCCGCATGATGGGGTAAGCAAAGCCAGGCTGGGTCTGTACCCCAAGTCTTCCACTGGCATCCCCAGGGGGGCACATGAAGGCTGGAAACCAGCCCAACCAGGATGCCTCTGGCCTGACCAACCTGCTATCCCCTCCCTGTCACCCAGGTGACAGAGCTGGCCCCGCTGGGCTCCCTCCTGGATCGCCTGCGGAAGAACCAGGGCCATTTCCTCATCTCCACCCTCTGCCAGTACGCCATCCAGGTGGCCAAGGGCATGGCTTACCTGGAGTCCAAGCGCTTCATCCACCGTGACCTGGCTGCCCGCAACATCCTGCTGGCCTCCAACGAGCTGGTCAAGATCGGGGACTTTGGGCTGATGCGGGCCCTGCCCAAAAATGACGACCACTACGTGATGCAGGAGCATCGCAAGGTCCCCTTTGCCTGGTGAGCCCTGAGGAGGGGGGACCTGGGGGTGCAGCACCCATGACCTCATGATGCTCACATCCTTCCCCTCGCAGGTGTGCTCCTGAGAGCCTGAAGACACGCACCTTCTCCCATGCCAGCGACACTTGGATGTTCGGGGTGACTCTCTGGGAGATGTTTACCTATGGGCAGGAGCCCTGGATTGGCCTCAATGGCAGCCAGGTGGGTGCAAGGAAGGGACCACCCCCCCCTCTTGCCCAACAACACTCAGGGGGACCTGGAACCCCCTGATGGCACCACCTGCCCTGCAGATCCTGCACAAGATAGACAAGGAGGGCGAGCGGCTGCCGCGGCCTGAGGACTGTCCCCAGGACGTCTACAATGTCATGCTGCAGTGCTGGGCACACAAGCCTGAGGACCGACCCACCTTCGTGGCCCTGCGGGACTTCTTGGTGGAGGTGGGCGAGCACATGGGGAGAGGGACACGGGGGTCCCTGGTGCCCCCATCCCATCAGCTCTGCCTGAGTGTGGGCAGAGTCAGGGGTATCGCCGAGGCGGGAGGTGACATTGGAGGACTTGGGCCAGGCAGGTCTGCAGGCTGGGAGGTGGTGGGTGGTGACACAGTCACAGCAGGAGAACCCCTGGGTGCCACCTTGCCCTTGTGGAGCATCCAGGTGCTGCTGGTGCCCTTGCCCACCCCAGGGACATTGCGGCTGGCGAGGGGCTAGGAGTGGTAGTGCTGTCTCCCACCCATTTTTGGGGCTCCTCTGCCCTGCGTGGAGCTGGGCCTGGCCCCGAAGCTAGGTGAGGTGGACATAATGGGGGGATGTATCCCCAGTCCTCACACACCCCTCTCCCCCCAGGCCCAGCCCACTGACATGAGGGCTCTGCAGGACTTCGAGGAGCCTGACAAGCTGCACATTGAGATGAACGACATCATCACGGTCATCGAGGGCAGGTATTGCATGGCTTGGGGGGCAGTTGTTGCACAGAGGTGGGGGGCACGGACCAGCTGCGAGCCTCAGGGCTGCCAGCCTGCGTGAGGACGCAGGACCTCGAGAACCAGGGCGCCATGGGCACTGGCAGAACTGTGGGGAGCAGGGATGGAGATGAAGGCTCTGCCCCCCAGCACACTTGGCCGCATACCCCACAGGCGGGCAGAGCTGCGAGGTGTGTGGCTCCCTGGGCGGCACAGCGCTGCGGGGTGTGGGGCACAGCCGTGCCCACACCGTCCACCCCCTCTGACTCACCCCGTTGTGCCTGTGGGTTGGCTCTGGCCTTGCTCTGGGAAACTGTTCCCCACTGATAGAGGTGGGGGACATGCCACTGTCACTGGGCCAGGAGAGGCACCGGGGGGCATGACCCATCCCCCCGCTTGTGCCATGGGCTTCACTCCTCAGTCTCTACCGGCCAGCCCCCTCCACCGCCCCGGGGACCTGCGGACTGGAGGGACCTTTGGTCCCCGCATCCCCATCCCAAGGCATGCCCATCCCTCTCCAGCTCAGGGACCCCCCAAAGGATCTCAGTGTCCCTTTGCCCTGCTGGCACACAGGAGGCTGCCCGCCCCCAGCGCTGGGCGGGTGTGGAGAGCAGCTCTGCGCTCTCCCCCTCCCGGGGCC